AAAAGTCAAGATGAATATTTGATCATTTGCATATAATGTATAACTGCATAAATAGAGTGTTAGCATACTTATTCAAGAATATTTTATCCATACAAATAACAGGTTAACAATACTTCCAACCAGCTATATAAGTAATACTAACAAGAAAAAATATTTTAAAATTCAATTTTAAAAATAACGTGAATGAACTTAGGGGCATAGGTTATAATATACCTGGTCTAATTTAATATAAAATACAATAGAATAATATTTTCGTACCTGGAATTTTTTCCACATATGTCGAAAGAATACAAGTCTTTTGGTGATCCCTAATTTCTTTGATTGCAGCTTCTCTTGCCGACTGATATTTAGATAGTGCTGTAAATAAATATATGATATAATATGGYTGATCAAATCATGTAAATCAATAAGATAAATCAACACATACATGTTGCATGTATATGAGAGATATATCAAAATCAGATAATCATATAATAAGTATATATTAGATGGCSAAAGCGAGCATAGCTTAGTGATAATTGGTATATACCTCAATAATAAGGTAGATCAATACATACATATTGCATGTATATAAAAGATGTATTAGAAACAKATATCATATCAGACTTTGTTTTTGGGCTTTACGGTATATTTGAAACTTTATTATTTAAGCATTCGATTTAATTTTTTTTTACTATTTTTGCAAAACTTAAATGTATATGCTAAATGTGCTATTTTTCTAAAAWTTTTTTGCCATAATTGTAAGTGCCCATTTTTATTTTATGTGATAACCATATAATTGATAKTTGACTCAAATATTAATTAACGGTAATTATATCAATATATAATTAAACTTTATGCATATATTTTTAAATTAATTGAACTTTAAACTTTATATTCTTGAACTATAAACTCAGTGATATTCAAACTATTTATTAAGCTATTTTTAATTTTTTCCCTTTACTTTTGTAATTAAAATTTAAAGAAAATAATTTAAAAAAAAAAAGAGTTTTGATGGACTGGGCTTAGTAGATTTCTGGGTCTTGGGCTGGGTAGTCCAGAATTAAATAGATTGGGCCCGCTGATTTACAGCATATATATACTGCCAACAGGCAAAGGTTTTAAAACCCTAACCTGGCTTGCTGCTTTATTCGTCTCTCGTCTGCGGCCGCCTCTGCCTCTGCCTCTACTACAATCTCAGCGCTTGAAGATGAAGGTTCGGCTCTTAGATGTCTCTCTTTCATGGCTACTTTCTCTATTTTGCTGCAACTCTAATTCTGAGTTCTCGTATTTGCAGTTTAATATCGCGAATCCGACTACTGGATGCCAGAAGAAGCTCGAAATCGACGATGACCAGAAGCTGTTAGCTTTCACATTCCCTTATTCTTCACTATATTATTTTAATCACGAATGTTTGTTCCGTGTGGATGAATTGTCATTTCCACCTTCTTTCAAATGTTCATGTTGTTAACCTTACATAAATACATAGGATTTGTCTTTGGGGAGTTTATATTTGCTGGTTAATATGCTTAATGGGGAAAAATTGAATGTTGTCAAGTACGTATTCGGATTTCTTCGACCGAAGTTTACTGAAGCATGAAATAATATGCTGAGTTCTTGATTCCAAATAATAATCTTGTCTGGAACTAGGGCTTTTGAGCTGTCAAATTAATATAATGGCTCCCATTTTATCGTTAGGGTAGTGTTGAGATAATTAATTCAAATATGTTTATAGTTTAAACTGTAGAGTTAATGTTCGGCACGATTTCTTGAAGGCTTCAAATAGCTTATATATTGTTATCGCTGGAAATGTATCTGCAGTGATGTCATTGGTAGTTGTGGATGCATAGCTTGTTTGTGTATTCCTTCCCCCTTTTTAGCTATTTYATTTTTTGTCTGTAAAATTGTCATCATTTTACTCTAGTTTTAATGTCTTTTCGGACTGAAATTATTCCTTGTCTTTGTTTAGCCGTGCTTTCTTTGACAAGAGGATCTCTCAGGAGGTCAGTGGAGATTCCCTTGGAGAGGTACGTGTGCCCCTGTCATCCAATAAATGAAATCTTAGTTCTTAGTTGCTGTGACTGAGTTTATTAATTGAAGATTTTTATATTTTCAGGAATTCAAGGGCTACGTTTTCAAGATTATGGGAGGATGTGACAAGCAGGGATTCCCAATGAAACAGGGAGTTTTGACCCCTGGCCGTGTTCGTCTCTTACTTCACAGAGGTTTGTGGAACTGTTTATGCTAGTGTATGGTTAAGTCATATAATCAAATATATGGTGAATATTATTTGTTTTCAATCATTTAGCACTATCTATAATAATATAAGGAGCTATTTAACTTGTGGCCAGGTACCCCTTGTTTCCGTGGTTATGGAAGGCGTAACGGTGAACGCAGGAGGAAGTCTGTGCGTGGATGCATTGTCAGCCCAGACCTTTCTGTCCTGAATCTGGTGATTGTGAAGAAGGGTGACAATGATCTTCCTGGTTTGACAGATACCGAGAAACCAAGAATGAGGGGTCCCAAGAGGGCATCCAAGATCCGCAAACTTTTCAATCTCTCAAAGGAGGATGATGTTCGAAAGTATGTTAACACATACCGTAGAACATTCACCACCAAAGCTGGTATGGTTTACTTTCTTTTTGCCTGTCCTTATATTCATTTTTTTCTGCCACCCAAGTTTTATAGCTTTCTTTTATTTAGAGGGGAAAATCAGAAGGGTGGTTTGTGTTTTAAACTTTAAGTACAGGCGAGGTTAAGTGTTTTCTTCAAAAATGGATAGATAGTAGGATAAAACATATCTATAATAAACTATTATCTGTATAGTTTCGAAGGCTCCAACGTTTCTGGATAAACCTCTATCTGACAATGTAATCATTGTCWTTCAATTTGGCCTGTCACCCATCCAGATGGATTAGTCCTCCCCTCATTTTGGTGATTAGTAGAAATTTACCTCTACAAATTGTTTTTTCAGTTCCATGCATTCTGGAACCGGGTTTGTGATGGTTTATTTGATTTGCAGGGAAAAAGGTTAGCAAAGCCCCCAAGATTCAGAGATTGGTCACCCCACTGACCCTGCAGAGGAAGCGAGGAAGAATTGCTGAGAAGAAGAAGAGAATTGCAAAGGCCAAGTCTGAGGCCGCCGAGTACCAGAAGCTGCTGGCCTCTAGGTTGAAGGAGCAAAGAGAACGCCGTAGCGAGAGTTTGGCCAAGAAGAGGTCCAGGCTCTCTGCTGCTTCTAAGCCATCTGTTGCTGCTTAGTTTTTTTGCGTTATTTATGTGTCAGCGTTCTGTTATCTTTTATATTTGCCATGTTTTGATTTTAAAAGGATGTACTACTTTTTGCGGCTCTGCTTATATGGCGACATGACTTTTGGAATGCTTTGTTTTTTCGGTTCTAATTGACGATCATTTCTTCACATAGTTTATTTTATGATAGTCGAGATGAATTTTGAAAATACAGCGTGGTAAGCAGACTAATTCTCATTTGTTCTTCAATTTCTGTGGATGTGTTTATGGTTAGTATAAGTAGAGAGTAAAACTACAAGTTGGTATGGTTTAGGTTATTAATTTTTATTTTATTTATGGATTATATGAGTTTGAGTTTATGAAAATTGACTTGTATGCTTTATAGTATAATTTAAAGTATAAATTCAGTTTCTAATAATTCATTTTTGGTTAAAAGAAACCACTTGATCCCTATTTCGTTGAAGCATTCTAAACAGGTTTTTCCCGATCATTTCAAATTTTGAAGTTTTAATTTTTTTAATTTTTTTTAACATATGGAGTTTGAGAGATGATCTTTTAGTTGGAGTGCCTTTATGGTTTTCAGTTGCGGTGACTCATTGATTGATGCAAATCTTTACAACGTTCACAGTGGCGAGTCTTATGATTATAACACTGCACTGGTTTCTAAGAATCGGCTGTTTGGTTATTCTAAGTTGCTTCGTCATCTATTACTTTCATCACTATCCATTGTCAAATACCCTTCAAGATCTCTTACTATACAGCTGATTGGATTTACCATATTCAGAATAATAGCGAGGGAGGCGAGGAAAAGAAATAAGATCGAGAGGGTGAAAGAGGTCATTTACCATTTCATTATTCATATATTAATTATAATGCAATTATGTAAAGAACTAAATGACAAAGGAATATTTATGATGTGATTTAGAAAATGCACATTTCTTAGTCTTCTAATGGAGTGAGCTTACTTCATCATATTTAATAACTTAATAATTAAGACACTTAAATTTTTTCCATAAGTCAGAAGATTTGAATTCTCACCCCACAATTACAATATCAATYATCATATACTCAGAACAAAAAAAATAGATTTATATAAATGTCAGAGTGGAGGAAGAGTCAAAGATAGAATATCTTTGACAATKATCATATACTCCTGAAAACAAAATAGAATATCACTACACAAACCTAAGAGAGATTGTCAATTATTCAAAGTAGGGAAGAAAACTGTTATTCCTTTGAATGCAGAGGTTCACTTTTGAAGGGAGAATTTGAAACCAATGTAAATATATTGACTTTCGCCTCCCTCTCTCCGTTCTAAAATAGCTCTCTAAAACCAAGTTCCACTCATTTCCTCTTCCAAACCAATGTAACTGTAGTTGGTTTGAAAAGTTTCACAAAACTAACAAACTCCCTTCTTTCATTCTGTCCCGAAGAGTGATCGGGACCAATTCAATTACATTTTCATTCCATAGGTTACGCGACCCATAGCCTCCATCCAACCCATATGAAGTGCGATGACATCAAATCAACGAGCTCTCCGAATGAAGGTGAAAACTAAGAAACGCTTATGTTTCTTTCATATGCATGTTTATGTTTACAATAGCATAACCACSATTATTTTGTTAAACTGCTRTTTCTTTAACATTAGGATCTCTCTTTTAATGTTGTATTTCAGTTGACTCTTATAGAAACAGTAGAGTACTTGATTTTAGTATCCATGGTATAATATTCAATTAAGGTTTTGTACAAGTAAAACGTTTACTTCATTTTTCTTTAACGAGACAAGTTTACAACATTTTAATTAAAAAGAAACAAAACAATTTGAAAAATCTCCAACATACAAATGCGATCATTATATTCAATGTCGAATCCCGTACCTTACTGATGACAAATTACTGCCTCCACCAGTGTATCCAATCTTTAATTTAAGCAGTTTCCATATATGCAGGTCAATCGTTTAACTTCAGGTATCAAATGCTTTAAAGGATCATGCAAAACCCCTATAGTCATTTAATCCTCCCCATACTGTCAGCTCAATTTCTTCCCAAGAGTTGGCCGTTTTCAGTTCCTTCCATATGCTGCACATGGCACCCAAGATGTCCTCTTCATGCAAGATGCAGTAGCACCTACAGATAAATGAATGAAATCAGACCCATAACATCAAAATTTCAACTACAAAAATGAATATCTCAAGCCCACTTTAGCTTCAGCCAACAAACCCAACGGAGTAAAAAGTTTGTTCATGAAGTGGTTTTAGCCAAAAAGAGGCGTTCTTTTATGTGCCCAGTGTGTATTTTAATATTTTAATCCTTCATTTGGTTGAAAAGTAATCGAAATGTAGTCTAAAGAGTCTACAATGGTAGAAGGATTAGTTTTGTTGTTTTGGACTTATTTTTATGCTTGGAAGTGTTGTTCCGAGCTTTAATTTGTGTCTTAAATTTTCTACATTTTAGTTAACTGTGAATTTTAGGTTTTCCAGAAGTATCAATTGTGACTTTTCCTATTATTGAAGGGTTGGGAGACCCACAAGGGATGAATATCAGATTTCTGAATCCAAAAACAAAAACAATTTAGGCCTCGTTGTATGGTCTATTGGTAGGATAAAGTCTTTTCATTATCCAATTGACAGGTAGGCCACTAAAATTAYGTCAGTCCTTAGATCTGTACATTGAAAATATATTACCCATTTCTTTAATGCAACATGACCAAAAGACTCAAATTCAACTCTAATGTTCAGTGGTTGAAGACTGCAGATTATTCATCAAGCAGATGACACTCAGAGTAAAAACTTGCTAACATAAAGTGATTATTATTTGTCAACTTGTTACTTTCCTAATCTGATGAGCAAAAGAAGTTACTCACAACGCATTCACCCATGAAGAATAGCCAACTTCTGTTGGCTGTTCACATTCTATGACGCTATTTGYTCCTCAATATTACCCTTACTGTAAGAATAGTTACCCACTAATCGAGTCAGAACAGTTCAAACTCGAAATCAAGCTAAATTTTCATGATACCTTTACTATTATAGAACTTACTATTTCTTTAACCCATTTAGCTAATGTGCAGGCATAACTTAATTTCTGTCAACATTAACAGGCTGTCGAATCCATTACGTATAATTAAAAACATCTGCAAACAACATGAGAAGTAGAGAAACAAGATCAACTGATGTGCATTGTAAATGCATCCATTGACTTACATGATACGATATGAAAGTCTGTGTAACTTGTCGCCGGAATCGAACGGTTGCAATTGTCTCGCCAGAGGAAGTTTATARTTTTCTAAAAATTGCTGAAGAAGACGTGGGTTGCCTCTAAATACATCAAGGTATATTGGAATCAATTCACAGATTGGATCATCTGCAAAAGGAAAAAAAACGTGTTTTATCATTGTCCTACATGCATGACTTGTTTAATTTTCTAATGACTTCCTGACCATGGGAGAAATTGAAAAGAGGTGCCTCATCGCAACATTCCTTCAAGGGAAGGAAAAAACGTGAGGCTCTAAGACTGACGTTATACTTCTTCCAAAGACATGGGGTTCTTAGTTTCATACTCCATGTATTGGTAAAATCCAAAATAAAATTAACAAATGTAAATACTAAGGCATGAAAATATTTCAAAGCCATATTATTTTAGTATCAATGAACCGTGTAATGTTACAGGAAAAGTGAAAAGCAAACCTATTGACAAATTGCTGAAATCAAGTATGTAGCTTGGACACCAAGATTCACTCTCTTCAGTGGCATTCCAGCCATTCTTAGAACCATTGTAAGACAGGTTATTATCTCCAGCATTTCCACCTAAGCACGACTGAACCAAACACGGCTTCATTTGAATATTATCATCCATGATATCTGAATGAATCCACGATAAACCCATGAATACTTTGAGGTCATTTTCATCCTGAAATGAAATAAAAATCATCAGAAGCTGCACATCATTGAAAACCAAAACAGCAATTACAAGGAATATGAAATTAGACAACATAGGGTCTTGACAGACGGTTGATTATAAAATGACCCAAATCTATGTTCAACTCTCTTTTGACAGTTACCTGCCTTTCTCAGGTTTTTATTCCTCAATGTTATGATGACGTAAGCAAATCTACTAACAGCTGATTTTCACTGTATTTTTTCCATTAAAGAATCGCGTTTAGTCATTCGGTTACTGGTTTAACATGTTATTCTTATCTTAAACTTGGCTGAGAGGCTGTTTCCTCATGTGCTGAATGATCTTGATGATGAATAAATTAATATACTTTTCTCTCCAGTTTTTTGCGCTAAGTTCGGTATTAGAGCTTAAGAAATGGCTAGTGGCAAGACCTCTAATGGTGGATGGCAAGGAGCAGGAAGATGAGCTTCGTGCCGTTATTCTCTAAATACAGCAACAAGCGAATGTGAATACTAGCATATTAGATGAAAATCCAGCGGAAATTTCCCAATTGGGCTCTCTCCCCATCTGCTTGTGGTATGTGTTGGAAGGATACCGAAAACGTGAGGCACCTCTTCTTGCACTGTTCTTTTGCTACCCAGGTTTGGAATTATGTGGCAGCTCTCCTATACTTCTCCTATTGCCCTCCAAGAAGAATCGATGATTTCACTATGGAAGGCTTTGGTGGCTCCGCTCTCAAAGGAAAAGCCTTTGTCCTTTGGAATTGTGCAGCRAGAGATCTCCTTTGGCTCCTTTGGAGGGAGAGATAGTAGGATTTTTGAGGAAAAAGTGGTTTCGCTGGAAAACTTTTGTGTGAATATAAAGCATACGGCTTCTTGGTGGGTTTCCATCCACAAGAAGGTTTTTTGTAACTTTGGTCTTCGTTTGATTATACAAGATTGGAAAGCAGCKATTGTGGGTTTCTCTCAACCCTCCGCCTTTAGGCTGTTCATCCTTTTTCAGATTTCTCTTTTCGATGAATATATTCTCTATGTTGCTTATAAAAAAAATACTAGCATATCAGATAGGATATCAAAGGCGCCGACCAAAAAAGGGGAACTATGGTTATAAGACAACTAAAGAAGAGTATATTCACAAATTGATTATAGAGGAATACAAAGGGACCTAAAATGGTAAGACTATCAAGGCTTCAATGAGAATGAATATTCATCCAAGATGGTTTGAGAAGACCCACGGTTGGTCCAAGATTCCAAGAAACCAATTCTGAAGATCAAGAAGATGAAGAATACCACTACTATCAACCAAAAAGGCAAGAGTTCTACTATGTCAAGTTAATCCACTAGACAATCACASACACAAAACCCCATCGATTGACTTTGGATCATACAAAACTACCTAGTGTTGCAAGTTTGTGTAAGCTGAAGTTCAGCTGCTGAACAGCTAGCCAAAACTGCTTTGAAAATCCTTTAGGAGGAGACTGAACATTTAAAGAAGTCAAATAACAGTTATAAAGGAGCAACTGATAGTTTGGAGTAGGTGCCTTAGTGACAGTCTAGTTGTGAAACGTTCCTAATAAGCTTCATTAGAAGAAAACCGTTCCTTGCAAAATTCATCAACAAATTGGCCGTAATGTTTATCGAGTTGAACTTCCATATGACTTYGACATTTCTCCAAAGGGTATTTTCCACCATAGGAGCTTTTAGTTGACGACTAACAACTTGGATTGAGTTTTCTTTGGGGGAAAGGGTGGGATTGATGTAATATAATTCACTAAGAGCCCATTTTCATTATTGCTTTCCCACGAAATATTGTTTAGTTATTCGGACAACGGTTTAGCAGGTTATTTTGAATTTTAAAGTTGGCGGAGAGGGTTTGACTGGCTAAACAGGTTTTTTACCAGCTGGACCGGTTATATTTGGGTCCATTTCATTCCATTGTGTTTGAATGATCTTGCTAGGACATTCTTTCAAAGGAAAAGCTAGGTCTAAATACGACTGTATGCTTGCTGGGTTTCTTTTAAACCACAGAATAAAACGTTTTTAGGTGCTTTGTGGAGATGATAAGTATATTGCGAATTTGATTCTCATCCATGCTTCTATTTAGATGGATTTCCGAGTCCTTTTTTTCTTCTTGATTTTTTAAATTTTAATTAAGGTACTTTAGATGGATTTTCCTATACTCTGTTGTGGATATCTCATCTTTCCACTCCAACAGCATATTCATCTCTCTATCAATGCAATATTCCTTGTCCAGAAAGCAAAAAACTTGCAAAATGACCAAAAAGATTCTGTAAAGCACACCTCTATTGTTCCTAGCAGCTTCGCCATGTCATCTGGTAAATATTCGTCGACTTTTTCAATCAGTGATCTTGGAATAGAACTTCCCCTGCAAAATTTAGATGACTGGTTCAGGCGGACAATTTTATATATTTTCAAGCATGTTAGAATGCTCCGTTGCATCCATATATTATTAAATAGATTACATTTATCACTACTAATAGTGTCAGCATCAGCAATAAAACGGGGGAAGAATAGAATCAGGGGCAAATAAATAGAAAAAGAGTTGCTGAATCTCCGTAGCAGGCAAACGTCATATATTCACACTCTTGACAAAAATATGGGTATAGGGGCAGCACAGCTTAATAAAAGTACAAAACTGAGGATTCAATACTACGGGAAAATTTTGCTATTGAACTCTTTGCAGAACCGAGAAAAAACATGATGCTAAAGCCTATAACCATCCATGCAGTCTGACCACCAAAAGGTAAAACCAAGTAGCGACAAAGCTCTTAGTTAAATTAAGAACAGAAGATAGCTGATTGATTAATAGTATATTTTAAGTAGACACTACTTAAAGATCTACWAATGTTTAGAGTTCATGCTCTTAGAAGACATAAATGCATAACATATTTCATATTACAGAAATGAAGCAGTACAATACTAATATTCATGAGTTACACAGTTACACAGCCAGGGGGAACACCGTTACAGACACTTGCAACTTCAGATTGCAATCATAGAAAAGGATATACAACAAAACATAACGAATAACAAAAACAAAGGGGAAAAACTTCTTATGTCTATAAAATAATAGCACAGGCCAGCTTTCCAAAATAGATACAAAATTTAATCTCCAATTCTAAATGCAGTGTTATTATTTCCCGACCTCCATTAGTACTCCAAAAGGAATTTAAACTAGTTTATTTCTAAGTGTCCACCAACTCCTTTC